TTTAAACTTTTTGAGAAGACCATTTTAGTGCCAACTCAGGAAGTGAGCAGTGTCCAACAGAGTTCAACATACCTTCCGCGACGGCAACCTTCCCGCGAAAGCTTCTTCAGCTTCCACTGCGACTGCAGTCCCACGAGCATGTTGCATGTCCACCAACTCTGGTTCGACGAGGCGGAAACAGCTCACTTGCAGTCCTGGCAAGCGTGGGAATGCGTCGTCCCTATCAAAGAAAGCCGGAACCTCCCAATTTGTCAGGCGTTCCAAGCGAATCGATCTGCAAGACCTTTCGGTTTGAACCAGTTTGGGCAATCACCTTGAATCACAGCACCCCCAAGCTCTGTGGACGCCCGTGACTTGGGATTGGCAATTAGGAACCCGCGCCAGATTATTAGTTTGAGAGGGTCGCTTCAAGCCTCGCAAACCACAAGGCTCGGCTTGGTAAATCCGCCCCGAAAGGGACTTTGAAGCATCCCTGATTCAGGTGAGGCTGGCTCACCTCCTGAGTTCATGGACTTTAGTCACTTGGGTTTGGACCATAGTGATAAACAAGCAGCTCAGTTACCTTTTCTGGCCAGTCTCAGGAAGTGATATATTAGTTTCCCCCTTTTCAAAAATCACCCTATATATCAATAGATTGTATTCTTTTCAAGACCACCCCCCTGCGGCTCAAACGTACCCTATTAGTATCTTTCGGCTCCCAGGTATTTTGACGAGGGGGGGGGATATATTATTGGGGGCGAGGGAAAAATGTGCAAGCCCCCTCCCCCCTCCCTGCTTCAACATTTTGAGAGAGGACAGAATTCTGCACGAGTTTTCATGGCACAGAACTTTTCCTTGGACCCCCCCAAACACACAACTACCTCCCCCAAACACACCTCCCAAAATGGTCGATTTTCGTCATTTCGTCCAGGAGGTGTGCGTCCTTGCCTCTTTTTGGCAGGGGGGATGGTTTGGGCGTGACATAGGTATATGGCCATGGGTCAACATCCAAATCGTACCCCCAGTGAACATCCGATTCAATCCAACCACGAAAAAATAGGTCCTAAAATGCGTGGTGAATTCACCGAAAACCCCAAAATGGGACCAAACCCGTTTTGACCACCACAGCCAGTTGTTCCTCGCCTTTCTTGCGAGGGAAGCTGCCGAGCCTGTGGCGTACCTCATGGGACGCGCCGCTCCGAACTGAACGTAGCGTGTTGGGGTCGCAAAAAATCGGGGAACCGCCCAAAAAACGGCGGGGTTCCTGATCGTTTCCTTCAAAACCCCATTTTGTTGGTGGGTTTCCTGTATGGTTTCCTTTAGAACCCCCTATTTGTCAGTTGGTATCCTTATGGTTCCATGCATCCACAAAAAGGGGATCCTCAAAACAAGAGACACATCCACTAGGTACTAGTACCATGTGATGGTCGTGAAAGCATGGGAAATATGTCCACAATCCATTTTAAGGATTTTCCAACCATTAAAACTCACAGCCACTTTTGCTAAAGTTTTGGGAGTTGTTTCTCTACAAACGAGAGCTCTTCTGATTCCTCCCGTGTGCGGTTTCGATTAGGCCTGGCCTGTATGTTGTGTTCTTGGGATGGCCCATTGTTTGTCCGTGGGGCTGATCTTTTGGAGAGTACCCTGTTCATCTTTGTTTCAGGGGGAATTCAACAGGAGCACCAATTTGATATGCCACAAATGACGTTGCACAACCCTCAAGCGAGGCCAAACCAAACAGTGCCCGTGTTTTTTTTCGATGTTTTTGTTGTTCTGTTTCTTTTTTGTTCTTTTTCTTTTTTGTTTCGGGAGTTCAACTCTGAATGCCCAATTTGGGACTCATCCAGGAAGGGCTAGAAACATCAGATCGGGCGAAGTGCCGGTCTTGGAACCGCTTCTTGTTCTCGGTTCCAACGTCAAAGTGCAAAATGAAACAAGGCCCCCACAGCATGGTTGGGTGGGCGTGGCAAAGAAAGCACAAAATCCAAGTGACCCATGCAGAGGGGCTATTTGGTAGAAGGCGTTTTCAGCAATGGGTACCTGCCTCTGGGTGGGGGGGGCGACTTTCAGACAACAGGCGTGAAATTCAGACAAACACAATTCAGAAACAGTGGCGTGAAATTCAGAAATCAGGAACGCAAAGTTTGGAAAACAGGGGGTTGGACTCACTAAGTGGCACACAAGCATCCGGGGAGCATGTATTCAGCATGCTCATTTGACCAACGAGGGTTGCTTCCGCGAATCCTGGGACGAATGGAGAGGTCTGGGCGCAGCATTCCGAGTGACAGCAACGAGAGCACAGACCGCGGCAAATTGCTTCACGCAAAACTGTGGTTCAAGCAGGAGTTTGTCCTCTCCTTAAGTTTGCCAATCCATTTCGCTAGACTCCCTCCCTGAGTTTTGTTTCGGGCTTTAGTTACTTTTTGGGTTTGGACCGCTTTGGCTTAGACAATCAGTTTGATTACTCGTGTTGGCTAATCTATCCACTCGATCGGTGAGTCATCTTGACCCCCTATTCATCAACCCCAGTTTATGAATAGTTGTTTCCCCTCCAAGAGTCTGATTCCCCACAAAGCCCAGGTTGACACCCCTATGAATAAACTGGTTGGTTGCTTAATATGGGGTCAACGTCGGAAACGGACACTGGTCGTGCCTTGGCTTTGAGTCCGCCCACTGAACCAGGCCGACACCCCGCCACCAGCGCCAGTTCTGCTGGCTGCCTGCCCTGGATGCCTTGCCGACTTCGAGGACACGGACGAGGCGGGTGGGGTGCGAAGTTCTTAGGCTGGTCTCCTGCTAGGTCCCCAGTAGTGCCCTGTTACCCCTTCTTTTGGGGAGGGTTCCCCTAAAATAGACTATAGAAAAAAGGGTACAGTTGGTCATTTTAAGGGGAATGTTTCACCACTGGAACTATGTTGTTTGTTTCAGGGAACTTAAGAAATGGAAGTTGTCCTTTGCGTCGTGGAGGGGCTTCGCAAGTGTTTTTTAAAGGGTGTCCCTTTAACCACCATCCACAACGCCTAGGCCCAATGTTCTTCCATTTGCTGAAACATGAATCTATCACTACTGGAAACATGTTTTCTCCAGATAGCTTAAGCACATGGACGTGTTCTTTGCGCTTCCTTTAAAGGTGACGTCTCAAAGGGACAAATACAACGGAACCCTGCGTGGCCACGACTCCACTAAGCCCTTCGGCCGATATCTGCAGAAGGAATTGTCACATGAAACTCAGATGGAAGAAATGGACGTTGTGTCACAGTTCACAGTCTATCGCGATCTCGCCGATTCGGGTGAAATAAATAATCATGGCGAAGGTCCCTTTCTTGGTAGACCCCTTCACTGCTGTTGGCAGGTTGCTAGCTGTTTGTTTTTGTTCTGTTCATTTTTAATACGGGGTTGCAAAAATAGAAAGTTTCTTGCTAGCATACCAAAGACACTTACATTGGATCCATTTACCAGTATTTAGCAGAAAACCAAGGAAACCACCCTTTAAATGAAAATAGCTGGTTACCTACTTTACGGGGAACCGGATCCACTGGGGAGCAAGGATGCAGATTGCGTTTTTTTTTGGGAAAAAATCGGCTCACTCCGCAGAAATCGCGCAGGTTGCGCTGTTGCCATGCGGCCACGTCTTCTGCGAGCGCTGCGCGGCTTCCTGGGCGGTGGCAGAGTCCAACTTGGCTGCGACCTGCCCGGTCTGCCGCTGCACATTTGGCCCACGGAGTCCCTCGGCACAAGCGGTACAAACGAGCATCCAAAGCTCCGCTTTCGGAGTTGAGTCTTTGTGGGCTTAGACCATTTTAGTGGTAGAAGCAAAAGTTTTGGACTTTTTGGCCACTCCACTCGGGAAGTGAGAAGATGAAGTCATGTCCCCATGCAAACCTCCCGAGTTCTCTAGATGACTCGGATGTTGACGAGAGTCGTTTTACGAGGCCCATCCAAACGGGCTCCCATGGAGTCCGCACGCCCAGGCGAGGCAGCGAGCTTTGCCGGATGTGTTCCATGAGCCGCTGAACATGAGGAACCGCCTGGCGGGAACCGGGAACCCCACAGGAAAGCCTGGGAGCTCTTTGAAAGTCTGGGACCGACAAGGCGATCTTTCCAGTGTGCTACTTTTCCAGTAGCTTTTGTTTATTTTCTGCTGCCAAGCAGCACATGCATGCCGAAAGGCGTTTAGAGGTACCTCGACTCAATCGAAAGCCAGCCTGCACAAGTCAGCGCGGACCTTGCGGTAGAACAACTTTTGCTTACATTCTTGAGATGTTTCGCACTTGACGTGCGAGCAGACTCACGTATAAGTTTTAAAGCAGCAGTGCATGTATGTGCCAAGGTATGCCAAGGTTGAGCAAAGTTGAAACAACCAGACTCCCCCTTTGAATGGGAAACCAAATGAAATTGTTGAAATGCGCGGTGTACAGATGCTAAGCGGAATCGAGATTGATTCACGGAGGCGGACTGCTAGTAGCCAGAGCAGCGTCATAGCGAGCCAATTGGCCGGGCGCAGTCTCGTGTCAGACTTGTTCAATGCCTCCTTGCATGGTGTTGGTGAACAACCAATTGTAAAGATCGGCGCCAAGCAGAAAAGGAGGTGGATCGTTTTTGGCTCTTGCGATGTAGACTACCTCCTTCATTCACAACGACACTGTGTGCGTGTGTGCCTTAAAATGTGGGAAGGGCTTGAGAACAAGGAAAGCCGAAACGAAACCAGCCAATTGGGCGGGTCCCCATTCCCATTTTAGCAGAACACTGTTTAAGACCCCCCGCGCCACCGCAGCAACACAAGGTGACATGCATGGAAATGTCTCAAACACGTAAGCGTGAGCAGGGGAAACCCCTCACCAGTCCAACTCCGAGACATACTGTGGATGGACGAAATCCTGCACCACCTAAGAAATATTGGAATGATTATTCGATTCTTTTGTACATCAACAAACCATGGTTTCCCATGGTTTCAAAGTGGTGCGACATGGATTTCCTCCATCCACTGGTGTCTTTGACCCAACTTGGACCAAAGCCGCGCAAAGAGATGTGACGGCTCGAGTGGTGGATCTCTCGCTCGGCTTTGGCCATGGCGCTCTCGGCGCCTGTGCCGAGCCTCGGAAGCCGAGGCCGCTTTTGAAGTCGTGGCTGATATGAGACACGTGCTCAAAGCCAGCTACTTTCCCTGGGTTTCCGGAGGTTTTCTAGAAAGAAGGATCCCTGGAAAGAATGGGGAAGGTACCCCTAGAACAATCAAAACCCGGGTAGATGAAGGTTAGTAAGGGCCAGTCCCAGCCAGAAATAGTTGCGGATACCGCCTTCTGAACTCTTTACATGGTTCTGGGATTTTAATACCGGGTTTCGATTGTGACTCATATGGCACTTCTCTTCTTGGGCTTTGTTGGAGGGAGAATCGTTCAAAGTCTTGTTGGGAAGATTGGAGACTCACTTGCCTGAAGCGAATCGACCTTTTTTCAGATGCCAAAAGGTGATCACCTTTGATTTCTGGGTTCCGAACGTGCAAGTGAGGAGATCTTGGACGCTCCGCCAGGTCCGATTTTGCGCTTGGAAGGTCCGGTGGCTGGGCGCTAAGTGCTAGGGACTTTGAGTCGTCGGACTCCTAGATCCGAAGCGGTCGTTGGGCGGGCCAGTTCTATGCTGGTTCTGTTTGGAATTTATGGCCATGTTTCCTTTCTTGTCAACAGGGGTGGCCGTATTTTGAGAGGGAGTCCGCTCAACGCAAGCCATATTGTATTGTTTGTAAACGCACACACCCAGCTGTGGGCAGATGGGTCATCGCTCACGAGAAGGTGCTTGCACTTCACCGGAAGTTGGACTTTCCTTGTTAGTTCGCCAAAAGGGTTTTTGGGGCTGAATCCCGCCCAGTTTCAGGAGCCCTCACATATTTTCCCAGAATGCTGACCCTTGATGAATACCCCACCACGTACTGGGGGGGATCCCTTTCTGGTAGTTGGCATCCTTTCTGCCAGGACGGGGAAATGTGATGAATAGCTGGGGCGGGTGTTCGTTGTGGCTATTTAGGAATGGATCCTTGGACTTGAACTGTTTGGTTGAAACAACTCGGATTTTCCGCATTGGACCCTCAGAAAGTGACACACTTTTTGCAGAGGGGTCGTTACAGCAACCAAGTTGTTTACTGTGGCTTGCTATTCTTTCTCCTGAGGACTTTAGAAGAAGTTGGTCCAAGCCGCAGAGGGATTCCATGGAAACGGTTTATTGAGGCCAGCGCGGGGAAGTGCATGTTGCTGCGTCTGAGGCTCACCCGTCCCAACCCAGCCGGCCTTCTCGAACGCCCGAGCGCCTGGAGAATTCCTTCGGTTCAGTGGCAGACATGGGTGTTTGATATGCCTTCACATGTTTTTTGCAGCTTTTTGGGTTTCTGGTTTTGTGGTTCTGTTCACTTTTAGTAGGTGGGCTGTTTTAAACAGTCATTTGTTTGCTTCAAGAGTGGTAAAGAAGCTTTATCATGGATTTTGGGTAGTCGCAAGCCATAGCTTTTGATTTGACTCAGGTGGCGGAAGTTCAACAGTCGGCTCAAAGAAAGGGGGAGATCGCGTTTCAATCGGGTCGTCAGCCTGAAACGTGCCTATCTGATGTCCACAAAATTGGTTTAAATTGGGATGTGTCCCTTCTTGATAGGGATGTTAATTGGGTGTGGCTCAAAAAGCAAGAGATGGGTCTGCGCATGTTTTAGTTGTTGCTTCCATTTTCCAAGGTGCCATTTTGGTACAGTTGTTGGAGCCCACCTTCGGAAGCTCACATGTGCTGTCCTTTGTCCTTCTGCTTGCTCAGGTTGACGTCCAGCGCAGGTGCCAACCTCAGATTTCAGGTCTCCGGCTCTTCTTTTCTGGACCCATCGGATCGCTGTGGCATGTTGGTCCTGTTCACAAATGTTGGTCACGATCCTGTTGTATTGCTTGGAGGATAGTTTGCACCTGGTACTTGTAATTACACTTGAAAGTTTAATCAAAGATGACTCGCCAGTCTCAGCAAGCTAGAGGTTTGTTGGAGTTTCGTCCGGTAAGCGTTCTGAGTCCAAGCCAGGATCATGTCGACCCTGCTGAAGATCGACACTTTCCATTGAAGAAACAAACCGTCACAAACTGGCCAGGTACACACATGTTCACACATGTTGACTTCAACACAAAAAGGCAACATCAACAAAGCGTATTTCTCCACATGTTTCTCCAAGGAAAGAAGATTCCCCAAGGAATGAAGGAAAACAGGCAGCGGAAGGAAGGAATGAAGGCCTCTGGCCGCGCCATGGGCTCGCCAGGTGCCTCGGTGCTTGGAGTCCTTGGCCTCGCGCGGGAGACTCAGAGAGCCCGCAGCGCTCAATGCGGCCGAGGAAAAGAAAGCGTTCTGGAGTTGATTCGTGTTAGAGGTGTTTTGTGGGGTTTAGTAGAGTGTGGTTGAGTGGGGTTGAGTGGGGTTTAGTGGGGTTTAGTGGGGGGTGGCATCTTTATCATTCTGAGTATTAGTTTTAGTACAACTGTCATCGTCACTAGTTTATTTGTCGAGGGTTCACTGGGGGTGTTGTTGTTCGGGGTTGTTGGGGGATGTTGGGGGATATATACATATATATATATATGGGGTTTCTTGGGATGTCTTGGAGTTGTTTGGGCTTTAATCATTGATGTGCATAGTATCCTTGAACCATGACAATATTTTCGTGGCTTGAAAAAACACACTCCAAGAACAACAGCCCAAGACATGGCGATACACAACACCAGATGCGGCTATGGCCACTCAAAAGCCGCATCCAAACCGTCCAGATTGACATGGAAGCTGACACAGGACATGGGTTTACTTGCTGCTTTTTTGGGGCATCCACCGTAGAGTGTAGAGTGTTCCGTTATGGGATTGCAACTGGGAAAGCAACCCATTCAGGCTTATTTCCGGATAACATCTGGTATGTGGACCATCCCAGAAAGTGTACTCGGAAATGATCCACACATCCTTAGGTTGGTGTTGGTGTTCAAGCCCAGCGCGTCCAGTCATTCTAAGATTAAGATGGTTTCCACTACCCCCAAGCCACCCTCCGGGGTTTCCGGGATGTAGGGGCCACCATAAGGAGTATACCGCAATTTCCTGGAAGGTAGTGGCTCTAGTGTAGTGGAAACATGGAAGGAGCCAGCACTGGGCCTGTGAATGCCTTCGCAGGTCGCGTGCGCGATCCACTCGCTGCAAGGCGCGGGAATCGGAATGGGCGTCCAGGAATTGCTTTGAGGCTAGCGTCACAACAGTGAATTAGATGTGGGCAGGGAACGAACATGACCAATAATGCGTTGATCAGGCTTGCTCAAGCTTGTTTCTTTCTTACCGTTCGGTGCCACTTTGCCAACATTCGCATCTGTTGGGATCAAACAGATACATATATGGCACGTGAGTGATTTCCGGTGTTTGATAGTTTGCCCCAAACTGCCCACAAACTCACAGCGTACAGACATCCTGTTCATTACTGACAAACCAGAAGTCTGAGAGCAAAACCACGGCCTTGTCACATTCCGCCACATTCCGCCACACCAAGCCTCTTGACCACACGAAATGACCAACGGCGGACATCTCTTTTTGATCATTGATGGCCTAAAGTCAATCCTACCCATTTTGCACTCAAAACTTTCGGACTTTCCTGAGAGTCTCTTAGGTACCCTTCTCATATAGGGCTGAGCCAGGTTATAATCACCAATTTCAAGGCATGAAAATTGACAGGAGCCTCTTCCATTTGCTGAAATCGATGTTGTGCTTTGTCTTTCCCTGTCGGTGTTAAAGGGACTACTGGCTATTTTACCTTTCTGGAACCTGCTTTGCCAATACCCCAATTGGTGGTTTGGAGCCCGGTGGGTTGGATTTGGATTTGACACCCTGGGTTTTTTGTAGAGGGCAAATGGGAAACCACCTCGGAACAACACCAAAGCACCGATCCAACCAACCAATTCGAGGGGAGCTGAGATACCCCCGTCGTCGCGCTGTTGGTGTAAAAAGTAGAGATGAAGAGACAGTCCCAACCGGATAGGTGCACGGCCATGTTGGTACTTCACATGAGGGTACGCAACCAGACGTGTAAAGTACCGCGAACAGGCTATCTTCAAACAACCACATACCCGAAAAAATCGCAACCGTGGCGAAGATTCTGAGGGGGCCAACTGTTCCGAGGCGCAGTTGGCAGCCCGGCGCCGCCGGCAGAGCACGGACCCCTTGGAGCATTTGTGCCATGGCTGAAAAAGGGAATCATCCGATCAAAGGACCGGGTACTTCGAGGGTGTTTTCGGTGCATGTTGCATGGTTCTCAATAGTTGTTATGGGATCCGCATTTGGGCTGGCGGCGAGAAACGCATTCAGTCCTGGCAGTTCTATGCACGCTGAGTCCAACATGCATGGCTTACCGTGGATTCACACAGTGCTAGCTGCAAGGAGGCCCACCAAGATTCCCTCAAACAAGTTTGCCCGCTTTGACCAAGTCTCAAAGCGACGTTGGGTGGTTTGTGCGGGAAAGATTGGATGCCACTTACGTTCATATGCTTTCATGGGATATGGTGCAGTTTGCCCAGAAGCTCAGCCGGTTTTTGCATAGGCTCACCATAGTCCCCGGAGGCATCTGCATAGGCTGTAGCGCTCTCGTTTGCGGAACAAACTGGTGAAGGAGGCGGTGGGCTCACAAAGCGTCGCCGGAAAGAAGCTTTGCAAATGCTTCATTGGCTTCCTTTTGGCTCAATGGCCACGGCTTCATGTGGCAAGCTTACAGTCTGTATGTGAATGCATGCGAACTTAGCAACTGCGTAGGTTTTTGTTGAACGCACAACTCCAACGACGAAGGCGGGCGAAATGATGTTCATGTTGACGCGCGCTTCGCATAGGCCGACACGCATGGTATTCGGACGCAGGGCAGGCATGCGCAGGCACTAGCAGCCTGTGATGCGTCTGTGGCATTCCAAACAACGGTGCAGGGGACTACTTTTCCTACCCACCCATCCACATACCTACATCTACCTACATCTACCAACCTGCCTATACCTACCTAAATAGGGATACTAGCAATTGACCTGACTTGGGGTTGCAGGACGGCCTTCTTGGGTGTCCCTTTTGGTCCTTGGGAAAACGTTGGGAAGTTTGCGCTGAGGACACCCCGGGCAGAGGACATCGAGCCGGGTGAGCGGCTCTTCCGTCAGATCTACAAGTTGGGGGGCCCGAAAAGTGTGTGCCGCGCCGAGGCGTTTCGCTGGGTCTGTCTTTTGTTGAGGGGCACTTGTTTTTTTTTGGCGGGGTCAAGGAAAGCCTTTGATTTGGGTAGGTCAACATCAATCCAGGACATGCACCGCAGGTTTTCGTCCATGTTTCCAAATTTTCCAGGGCGAGCCATTTTGGGGTTGCCCTGTGTTTTACGCTTTGGGAAAGTGCTTCTAGTCCCTGGTTTCAGAAAGCTGCTTTATGGATGCTGTCTCACATGTCCAGGATATTCGGCGCTTGGAGTGAGATTGGCGGTGCGAGATCTCAAACAGCTCAGGGACAGGTGTTGGTCACGGTTCCGTTTGAGCGGAATTTGGGGTTCAGCTAACAAGTGCTAGCTGTGGTTGAATCCGTGGGCATCCGTGGGCGATTGAATGTGTGACCATGTCATTTTGATTGATTGCATTGCACAACTGTCTCCCATGAGTGAATCCCATTTAAGGGACGTCGAGGAACAGAACAGCTCGACAGAAAAGTAGGCCCTGCTTAGCTATTGTTTGTTGCATGCTTGATCCATGAGTGGCCAGATTCCAGGTTGCCTTAGGTTGCACAAGTTGCATTGTTGTTATGGCCAGCTTGGCGGAGCCATTATTAGCTAGTGGAGATTTGATTGTTTGATAATGTGTTCCACATGCTGCCTGAAAGAAAGCGTCCTGTGCAAGGCTTGTAAGCATAGGTGCATTTTGTTGTTGTTTTGTTTTGTAGAGAATAGATGGCCCTGGGTTGACCTGGTTGTTTCACAGTCTACCAGGGCCATGTATTTTCCCCGAAGGTCACCTATGGTTGTAAGGCTCAGAGCGGAGATGTGCACAGCTCTGCCAGAAGACTCGGAGTGTCTGAGGGAGACACAACATGCCTAAGGCCCAGCATGCGCAAGGCGGACTTCCCTGAGGGTGAGGAGGAGGAGCAGGAGGAGTGATGGGCATCGTTTGATGTGGCTGTGGGTCGAAAATAGGTACCGCAAATGGAACCCTAAGTGGAAACATGGACCAACACTGAGGTCCCCTGGTGGTTTAATTTTCACCCATACCCATGTTGCTTGAACCTCAAAGGGACATGGCGTCGTTGCCCGCGTCCAACTTAAGGGTCTGATGTTGTTTAGTGCCGTCTTGGCTTGTTGTGAAAACAAAGCCCTGCGCATTTGGCGTGCGAGTCAGCTTCGCTTGCTAGGAACCTTCTCCACGCAAGACGAAGAGGAGGCCGGCCGAACATCAGTTGGCTTCGAGGCAATGTGAGTGGAGCAATGGAAATATCCAATCAAAGCAATGAATTCCCTTGCCCCTAAAAACCACGGGTTCGTCCCAAGCCCAAAACCTCAAACACTGAACTTCTTGACTGGTATTGGGCTGGATGTTTAGACTTTAACTTTTGGGAATGAAGGTGTTTTCCACCAAACCCCCCAACAAGTAACACTTTTGGCAGCGGGGTCAACAGCAGCCATGACTTGAATGCGATGCTTCGCAAGGGGCAAAGCCGCCTGGCTCGCCGCCAACCAGAAGGAGAAGGAAGACCCCGCCTACGGCAAGCGCTGGCAGCTGGACGGGTTTCCGATTTCATGCGCGTGAGTGGGAGCCGCTTTGGGCGGGTCCAATGCGGTGCAGCCCCTCATGACTTGAAGAACCGTGCTACAGAAACCTGGGTGTGTCTTTTTTAGGTCCAAAAAGTTTTCCTTTTAGTGCCTCTTTAAAACCACTCAAAAAGAGGGTGCCCTCAAAAAGTACACACTCATGGCTATTTCTTCAACTCAGAGCCCTCTCGGTATGTTTGAAAGGGAGACTGAAGCAACCCCAGCCACCTCTGACTGAGAGCTTTTTGCACATATTTCGGCGCGAGGATCCTGCCAGAAGAGGGCCAAAGAACAAGCCCTGGGCAGTGGGCGAGGTAGTGGATGAGGTCCAGGAGCTTGGGGTCGATCAGCCCCAAAGAAGCCGAAACCCGTGGGCGCATTTTCCTCTTTTGGCAGCTTCTCCTCTCTTCTCAAATGCTGGACTCACTTCCTGAGTTCATGAACTTTAAACTTTTGGGGAACACCATTTTAGTGGTAAATATACAGTTTGGACTTTTTGGGCCAGTAGTCAGGGCAGGAACATAATGACTGACCTAAATCCGCTTCGCACCAGTTGATGGGTGATGTGTCCGGATATTTGCAGTGTTCCATTCATCCATATCGACTGGTGCGAAGGGGATTTTGGTCCGTCCACAGTCAATCCTGACGAGAAGCGGACACATCTGCGCATGCGAGGACATCGACCAACGGGCCTCGAAATACCGCACCATGTGCGCCGGAGGTCTCTAGGCCGTCTGTCTTTTTCTAGGGGTTGATTCCTTGCCCATTCTTTTCAACCTTCGTTCTTTCCAAACTCCGGCCGCTTTCAATTGTTTTCCGTTGATTTCTAGAAAGAAGGATCCCTGGAAAGAATGGGGAAGGTACCCCTAGGCTTTTTGTACGGGTCGCGCCCAGAGTCCGTTTTTCCAAATGCTCCAAGCACCGCCCAGAGAATGGCTGCTCTGTTGGAAAGGCCTCGAAACCTTCGGTTTGTTTGCGGCTTCGCTTGCTGAAGCCCCAAAGAGACTTGGAGGTACAAGCGCCCACGGTTTAGCTGGAAGGAAGTGGAGAAGGACCCATTTGCGAGTCGGGGTTGCCACAAAAATGCGTGTGTTTTGAGGCCCTCTGCTTGTACAGGGAGACCGGCCAGAAAACCAAACCGGTGTCCCTGCAAATTCCATCAAATTCCGACCAAATCCCCAATCAATATGGCAATATGGTGGACCAATCCAAAATGGATGAGTTTGTTGGTTTCCCTAAACCTGACAAAGGTCCACGATTCATGTCGGGACCATGGGGTTTTGTGTCCACCAACCCTTTTGAGGGTGTTCCACATTGAGCAACAGGGTGAATCGGTTGTCTTCGTTTGGGCATGAAAACCACCACGAGTTTCCACTAGTTCAGTGTGAGCAAGAAAATGGTCAGTTGCTCTCGGTGTCGTCGTGTGCACGTCTGTTTGAGCGTGCCCGAGTCTTCGGCGTTGAAAGGTGAACCAAAGGAAGCCACCCGGGTTCGCCTGTTTCGACACATTTAAGTTGAGCGGTGCACGCAGAGTTCCAAAAGCACTATGTTTGAGGCCACGTGCTCCAGGGGTGTATGGGCCAAAAAAACAACTTCAGAGTTTCCATGAAAGGCGAAGAGCAAGGTGAGATTCATGGCCCTGTCCAGCTTTCAGCTTGGAAGGATGTCCAGGTGATCTCATTGTTTGTTTAAGCCATGATGTACGTTTAGTTCAAGATCCTTTAGTCCAGGTCAGTTGGCAAGTCGAACTTCTGTTCTGACGAGTTTTGGCCCAGTTCGGGCGCGTCATATTTTGGCTAGGACGATCTCCGCACGTCTGCGCTGAGAGGGGACATGTCTGCCATCGGTGACGATGAGGCACGACCATTGGAGCTCATCATGCGAATTCCTGTCTGTTTTAGGTTCTGTCTTTCTTGGAGTTAATGCCCCAGTTTTAAAGGGAAACCACACGGAAAGCAGGAACACAAACCATTTGTTTGGGTGTCCGATTCCTGAAACAAAAACAAGCCCGACCAAAAGGTTCTTTGTTCTGTGCCTGGTGGGTGTTTTTTTTCCTGGTTGGCACCGATCGCGGTGATGCATCATCCATCTCGACTGGTGCCTTTTTGGTGGATTTGGTCCATCAGTGTGGATGGTTTTGCGAAGTCCATGAATCGCACCACCGTTCAGAAGCCCTGAAATGCTTCGATCCCCCAACGTAAAAATAATTACCAAACACACGAACCATGGTGAACAACCCATGGTTTCATTTCGGTGCTGCGAACATTTTTTGCTTTTCCCTGTTCGGGGTACCGTCCGGCTACAAAAAGATCGGAGCTTGGGATCCGTGAGGTGTGGCTCGCCAAGTTCTTGTCCCACTCGGGGGCGTGCTCGCGGCGGCGAGTGAAAGAGTTGGTGCTGCAAGGCCGGGAAGGATCTCATCCGCCGCGTCCTTCAACTTGGACGTTGGGCTTTGTTGAGACATTTTTGGGCTTCGGGCTTGAGGGCTTTGTCCAAAGGGACTTGCTTTGGGCTTTGGGATGTCCTCAACTTGAGATATTCTTTTAATTCGGGACCCCTTTGGTGGACATCAAAGAAATGTGGGGATTGTTGTCCACCACTTTTTAGGGGTTCCCCTTTGAAACATAGCCAAATAGGGAAGCGGTTGTCCTTTTGCTTCACTTTAGAACCATCCCAAAAGGATATACCCTCAGAAAGAAGACCCCCCCCCCCCTTAGGGGGCTGATCACATATTCAAACAACGGCTTCATGGGTTAAACAGATGACCCAGTTTTGACAGTTGACGCGCAGCTGTTTTCTTAACTTTAGCCCGGGAGCCCGAGAACTAATCCGACGATTTCCTCCATGCACCCAGCAAAGTACGGCCCGGATTAATCTATGTGGGGTGTGTTGAAAAAGGTCATGCCCCGCAATTACGGTTTCTCCTCTCGCATTGAAACCGTCCCAAATCGGGTACCCTCAACACATCTCAACACACTAACACATGGGTGTGGCTCAAAATTAAACAGGAGGGGTTACGCAGGTTTTGGTCCATGTGTCCACTTACCAGGGTTCCATTTTGGAACCGGTTTTTTGAGCCACAGCCAACACACCCTCATTGATGCCCTCAGAATCATGGACCCTTTTTGGTAGCTTCGAAGGCGGTTTTTGTTCCGTTCTAGGCCGCATCACCGTGAACGGGGAGGTCATCCAGGAGCGCGGTGGGGGGTGTTGCTTGTGCAACCTGCCGCCCTTTTCCATTTGGTTGTGGGTCAGAAACATGTAGCCACATGGAGCCCTGGTAAATGGAGACATGGACTAAAATAATGCGGTCCCCTGGTGGCTTAATTTTGACGCATACCCATTTGGTTTGGTTCAAAGTAGATGGCGTTGGCTTTGGTTTGGCACTAGTCATGCCATCATGTGCCATCAATTGGTGGAAAGGCTGAAGGCCCAGGAAGTTTGAAATAACAACTGCCCCAAACTTGGCTATTTTTGGCCAACAGGTTGCTACGCAATGGCATGCATGCGCACTGATTGCGGTTTGCCGACAGGACCCTGTCATGAAGGTTGATCCGAAGAAGGCTGGGTGGGGAGTCGGGAGGGCGGGGCTGCGCAAAGCACATGAGTGCAGCTCGAGAATGCCCTCCTTTCAGTCTCCCGTCTCACCGTTCGGCACAGGATACGGTGACACTGGACGGGAAGGCGCATTCGGACGAGAGGATCCAAGACACCAGGAAGCTTCATTGCGGAAGCGCGGTTTTGTCACTACTCTTCGCATGCTGTTCTGCAATATTCCTGCCCGGTTTCTTCGAGGATTGGCAAAGTTTAGAGTCCTCCCATCGCCATGTGTGGCTTGCTTGGATGTTTGGGCGGCCTGTATGGGGGTCAGATGAGCATGAAGTGGCTGGCTTTTGGGGACAGATCCCGGACGAGCAAATGCTTGCAAAACTGAGGTTTCCAACCATCCCCATGCAGATTTCCCTTTGACACCAACAATGGTCTCCTTTTTTCCGGGGGGAGGGCAAATCCCGCGGCTCTGCGACTTGGCGTTTCCCGGGCCGGATGTGGAGGAAAAAGAGTAATGGAAACGCCATGAAATATGATGAGTGGTTTCAGATTTCTCCATGTACTTCTGACATCCGCCAAAGAAGTCGCCGAAATATTTTGTTTAGCTCAATTTTCATGAATGCCTGATATGCAAGAGGCGTCCATGCTTTCTTTACTCATTAGGTGCACAAGCCTCGCACCTTGGACGAGCTGGTGTGGATCATGCTCTACAAGCCCAAGGCCTTGGGAAAAAATGTGGTAAGGGGAAGCTAAGATGGAAAAGTGTCTGACTGTCTGACCAAAAACAAAACACCCCTGATTGGTTCCGGAGCTCGTTGAAAGGGAAGTTGGAGGGAAAGTCATGAAATGAAAATCATGGATATGCCACTCATGTTCAGTTTGGTTTCTTAAAGTCGTTTGGAAGAGGGGGCTGTGCACTTCCATGTTTGTTGGGTAGTGGAGTCCATTTTTGAACCAAGAATCCAGAAGCCACGGGTACCCCAAGAGTAAGATCTTTGGCATCCAAAGCCAGAGGGCAACGGCGGCAACGAGAAAGTCTTCCTGCGGGGGTGTCTTTGTTTTAGGTTGGACCCCAAAAAAAGTGTTGGTGTTCCTTGTGGTTTGCCTTTGACACCACCAGAAGAAGGGGTACCCTCAAAAAAGACAGACCCATGCGTCACTTGCGCTCTTTGGGTTCTGAGCCTGGCAGGACGTTCTCACAACCTTGCAGGCGGGAGCGCCCCTTTCAGCTGTGGCCGTCCAGCTGCAGAGCTCGCCGGGGTGTGCTGGTTCAACATGTGCACCTCCACTAGGTCCCCCAGTAGTGCCCTTTTACCCTGTTTTTTGGGGAGGGTTCCCCTAGTAAAATAGACTACAGACAAGAGTTGGTACCCTTATTCTAACCTCAAACTGGAGGACCTAGACCAGATGTTTGGTTTGAAGTTCCCTTTTCAAGCCCTGACAGTTTGTGTACGCGAGATGCACAGATGCCGCCTTGTGAGTTTGGACCACGGGTACAAATCCCTTGGACCAAAGCAGATGTTGGCAAATCCCATTTGCAAGAGAACCCTTTTGAGGCTATTGGCACAATTTGTTCTTTTCCACATCTTATTTCTGTGTTGGCCCGACCCAATAGGAGAACCAAGAGTTAGGCATTGTTTTCCACAGAGGAAGTATCTTGCCCTTTCTTGCATGTGCCCATCAGTTTGGATGATTTATGACCCTATCGTGCTTTGTGCAAATGCTTCGAGTAACCATAGTAACCAAACTAACCATAGTAACCATAGATGATTTATAACCATAGTAACCAACAGAAGATGGTCTAGTGCTTCGAGTCAGGACCCCGCCGGGCGCAAGACCATCGCGGACCTGGTGCCCTTCGCGCAATCCAGACGCTTGGTGTCAGAGTCCCAGTGGGCTTGTGGAAATGTTCACCGTGCCGGGCTTCCTGTTGAACGACGACACATAGGATCCCCTTAAAACACACACACACCCACACACCCACGCACGCACACACGCACGCACGCCGCACGCACGCGATCGCATGAGCCGCAAGCTGACACGCACGACGACACGCACGCACGCACGCCACGCACACACGCACGCACGCACGCACGCACGCACGCACGCACGCACGCACGCACGCACGCACGCACGCACGCACGCACGCACGCCGCGCCATGCGCCGGCGCCGACGCACACCGCGACGCGACACCACGTCGCACGCACGCGCGACGCACGCACGCGACGCGACGCCACGCGACGCGACGCCGACGCAGACGCCGCGATGCGACGACGCACGCGACGCACGCCGACGCACGCGACGCCGCGATGCGCCGCGACGCGATGCGCGCACGCCACGTGATGGGTGATACGCCCGCAAGCGCACCGACGCCACGCACACGCGCACACGCACGCCACGCCCGCCACGCCACGCTACGCGCGCACGCACGCATCGTGACACGACACGACAAGATTGCAGCATGCACATGACAGCACGCATGACACCACGATGCACGCGCACGCACAGATGCGTGACACACACACACACACACACGCACACACACACACACACACACACACACCACACACACACACACACACACACGCACGCACGCACGCACGCACGCACGCACGCACGCACGCACGCACGCACGCACGCACGCACGCACGCACGCACGCGCGCGCGCGCACGCACGCACGCACGCACGCACGCACGCACGCACGCACGCACGCACGCACGCACGCACGCACGCACCCACACACACACACGCGCGCGCGCGCGCGCATACATTCATTGATGTGTTTTTTGTTTTTTAAAGAACCGTATAATCAGTGTACATATGTATATGTATAGTTTTCTTTGGGTGCGCGGTGGTATGTTGATCAGCTTGGTTTTCCTCTTACCGACCACTTTGGACAGGAAAGCCAAGGATTTCCTATGCCGATCCTTTGACAAATTGCAGGGGTTGAACCTGGGGATTCCCTGAAAGGAAACCGGGAATAGCTCATAGGGGTCATTTCAACTCATTCCCCGGCGCACCGGCGAGAGTCTCATGTGCGCGCACGTCTGCTTTAAGGCCAGTCGGCCGACTCGAGCGCAACTCCACGGGCCGCCGGCTTGGCGCAAGAGCTCTGCGGAAAATCCGGGACGCCCCAATGGCAGCGGTGTTTTGCTGGTTTCTCGTTTAAAGCAGACCAAGAAGGGGGTAAAGACAGACCCATTCCGCCACTCGAGCTTCTCGTGTTTGAGGTGATGTCCGAGATAGCTTCCCGAAGGGGGTCCCCCAAAAAAGTGTTTCTCTACAAATGGTGGCTTTCTGGGTTCCATGCGCATCTCTGGGAGAGTACAGGGAGTCCTGGGAATCGGGCCCCTTGGAGAAGGTCAGAGTGCCCAAATGTGACGCTTAACCCATCCGAGTGGTTGCCCCAAACCGCCCCAAACCGTGCTGGCACTGGAAGCTGCCGGGTTTGGACAGCCGAGTTTTGTTTAAACACTCCTTTGAGATTATGCAAAGTCCTTGAGTGGTAGGCCATCTAACCTCCACCCTCACGAGACCTCATGAAACCTCCCTCCACACATCACTGAATGCATTTCGTTTGAAGCGGGCTCTGGAAAGAACATTTGCTCCCAGCTGCAAAAGATGCCGAATCAACGCCTGTGACAGTGGCACGGGCCAAGCTGAGCTTCTAAGGCATTGTGCTGCTGACCAACGACTACGAGTGGCACACAATCTTGGTGCGCCAGCCAAAGGGCAATGTCAGGAAACTCATGGGATTCCCTCCAAAACTGGGTGTTGTCCTTTGGTTTCAAATTTGTCTACCAGCCAAAAAGGGGTACACCATTTTGAGAAGCTCCCAAATGGGAGTTGAGGAACGAAATGCCAAGACACTGCTCAAGCAGAAGAAACTAGTCATAGGAATGGTTCACGCTGGTATCGCAGGGCCTATTTCCCACATCATTTCAAATGAAAGCTTGGCTCCCTGCGGCCACGGGTGAAACAAAACGCGAAGACCAACCCCAGTGGCCCTTTTATCAAGTTCTGGTTTAGGGATTAAGCAACAGATTCCCTACAAACACCTTTATGACCATAGCAGAACAAGTCAATGGGCTCTTCAGTCGCACATCTTGACTGTTGGGCATGGTGAGCGCTAGGCCCACCCACGCTACGAGATGCCCAAGCGCTACCGTGTCACGGTCTTAGGTTCCAACTCTATGTCCCCCTGTGGGTTTCAACATCACCTTTTGGGCGTGTCTATCATGTCTTTTTTGAATTGGGTAACCCTTCTGTGGGTTGGTTTGAAGGGAAACCAACAGGAAAACCGAAATCCTTTTTTTTGGGGGGGCCTGCAACAACAGCTTCCCCTTTTGGTTGCCATTTGAAAGTGAGCCTCCTTTGGGTGGCGCGACGTTTAGGGGAAATTCTAGGGCACCCTGATGGATTCTAGGGCCCCCTTTGGCGATTTCGGGCTCGGGCGGTTTTGTTGTGGGGCAAGTCCGAGTGAAGCCGAAGGGGGAGCTTCTCATTTAGGGGTTGATCAAAACGCCCCTTACCATGGGAACCACCAAAAAGATTGTATTTCCCAGGCCCACTACATGGAAAAAGGAACCCATGATCTTGGGGCCACGAATATTGATCACCCCCATTTCATGATCTTTGAGTTCTACGAGATTCCCCCCCCCCCCCCCCAACGGGTGTTGGGGCGTTATGGAAAAGAGGATCTTGCACTGAGGTGACGGTCTTCAACGGAGCGCCAAATGTCCAGAAGCTTCAGGATGGGCTTCAAAATAGGACCCAATGATGATGGTGTCCCTTTTTGTTTCCCTTCTCACCCAACCTGAAAAGGGTCCTCTCAAAAGGAGCAGACACCCATACATCATTGGAATCTTGCAGGATCAGGATACCCCTGAAAAAAGGCGCCAACTCACACTTATCTCGTTGTTGAGGAAAGAGACTCAACCAGTTATATTTTTCCACAATGCCAGCTTCAGACCTTCGGCGCAGGCGCTGCAGCGGGGGCTGCACCTCCCGGACGAAGCTCGACCCTGCCTGCCTTTGGAGGAGTTGGAGGCGCTTCGGCGACTTTCGGGAGGTGTGGCAGAGGCCCAACTGGATCGGACAGTGCTGTGGATTCGGGCAACCCCTTGGTGGTTTGGATTGGGTGGTTTGGGGATTTGGAGTTGAAGCCCTGGTGTTTGTAAAGGGTAGATGGTAAATCACCAAAGCACCAACCCAAACCACCAACTAAGAGGATTCTGATGGATGCTTGCGAAATCCATTTCGCACCACTGTGAAAAAATGGGCCTCCATTGTTTGTTGGTATGTACACGGGAATCATGATTCCAGAGTTTCTTAGGTGCAGGATTTCGTCCATCCACAGGATTCTAGCCACAATCAAAACCTGGCTAGATGAAGGTTAGCAAGGGATAATCACGACCAGAAATGGGTGCAGCCGCCTCTTTAAATCTATCATGGTTCTGGGTAGACTATGTTAATACCTGGTTTTGATTAGGACCCAGATTTGGGGTGTTGCAATGGTCAATATTTGCTGTCATCTACTGCGGTCGACATGTTCGCCCACGAAAAAGTCCAAATTTGGCAATGTCAATGGGAGACACAATGAAGTTTTTACCTGGCTCAACATAAGGACTGTTTCAGGCCTTACTGAAGTTTTGCCCGCAAATCCCCTCCAGTTCCTTTCCAAGAAATAGCATCAAAAGGAGGCCATATTTGCATGTGGCAAGCCCTGGTCAACGACGTTGTTTGAGAATCAGGGTTGATTTCCCTGTCAATGAATCAACTTGGGCAGATGACTGTCTTGGGAGGCCCAAAAGGAGGGGTATTTATTTTAGGAATTTTTTTCGTTTTTTTTTGGGAATTTTTTTCGCTTTTGGCTTCTTGGCTTCTTGGCTTCTTGGCTTCTTGGCTTCTTGGCTTCTTGGCTTCTCGGCTTCTTGGCTTCGGCTTTTCGGCTGGCTTCTCGGCTTCTCGGCTTCTCGGCTTCTTGGCTTCTTGGCTTCTTGGCTTCTTGGCTTCTTGGCTTCTTCGGCTTCTTGGCTTCTCGGCTTCTGGGCTTCTAGGCTTTTCGGCTTTTTGCTGGTTTATGCGGCTTTTGGTGGCTTTTTGGCTGTTCGCATCCTCTGCATTCCCAGTTCCTCTTCGGCAGGTGGCGTTTTTCCGACATCATGGGGGGGCCCCCCAACCCCCCCGCTACGTTTTAGATTTTCTGCAGAGATTTAATTAGTTGCACCCCTAGTTGAATCATCAATTCTTCGAACATCATGGGGGGGTTGCACCCCTAGTTGAATCATCAATTCTTCGACCATCATGGGGGTAATCTGTGTAGTCCGTGTATGTCTGTATGTATGCATTTCTTCGAACATCATAGGGGAAGCCACCCCCGCCAACCCTCCCGCTGCCTTGTAAATTCTATCACACCCTTTCTTGAATCATTGCACCCCTACTTGAATCACCACTTCTTCCGACATCATGGGGGGGCTGCCGCCCCCCCCAACCCCCCCGCTACGTTTAGATTTTCTACAGAGATTTAATTAATTGCACCCCTAGTTGAATCATCAATTCTTCGAACATCATGGGGGGGGGCTGCCGCCCCCCCCAACCCCCCCGCTACTTTTTAGACTTTTTGCAGAGATTTAATTGCACCCCTATTCAAATCATCACTTCTGCAAACAACATCGTGGGGGGGGCTGCCGCCCCCCCCAACCCCCCCGCTACTTTTATATTTTTTTACAGGGATTGACATGCCCTCCTACTTGAATCATCATTTCTTTGACCCCGTCACACGATTTGTGGGTGATGCTAGGGATGTTGGTGGGACATGCGGGGTATATTTCGCGAGAACATGCTGTAAAATACGACACTTTACTGGCCCGGCAGAGATTGAATTGCACCCCTGTTTGAATCATCACTTTTTCGAGCGTCCAATTTCGCGAGAAAATGCTGCAAAATACGACATTTAGGTAATCTGTGTAGTCCGTGTATGTCTGTATGTATGCATTTCTTCGAACATCATAGGGGAAGCCACCCCCGCCAACCCTCCCGCTGCCTTTTAAATTCTATCACACCCTTTCTTGAATCATTGCACCCCTACTTGAATCACCACTTCTTCCGACATCATGGGGCCCCAACCCCCCCGCTACGTTTTAGATTTTCTACAGAGATTTAATTAATTGCACCCCTAGTTGAATCATCAATTCTTCGAACATCGTGGGGGGGGCTGCCGCCCCCCCCAACCCCCCCGCTACTTTTTAGACTTTTTGCAGAGATTTAATTGCACCCCTGTTCGAATCATCACTACCCCGCTCTGTTTTTCTTAATTGTTTTTTTTTGATTTTTTTTTGCTGCGATTGAAATGCCCTCCTGTTTGAAGCATTATTGTTTTGACCCCGTCAATCCGCCAGCTACATTTGTTGGTGATGCTAGGGATGTTGGTCGGACATGCGGGGGATGTTGAAAACGATGCTGGGGATGTTAACGAGCTAGTGTAAAATGCGTCAATTTCGCGAGAAAATGCTGTAAAATACGACATTTTGCTGGCCCGGACGAAAAACGAAAAAAATTCAAAAAAAAAAAAAAACGAAAAAAATTCCCAAAATAAATCCGCACCCGGCCCAAAATGACTCCGGAGGGCGTCACTTTGCAACCACTTTGATGGCATCAAGAGCTTACTGGATAGTAACCCTTGTTTCGTGCATACCCTCTCAACAGGAAAGCCGCGTTTTTTGTTGTTTACTGTAGGATTTGTAGGGAATCCTGCAGGTCACGTGTTTACAGAGGCTGGCAGTCTGGGGTCGACGGCTGGCGAAACACCACGCCTGGATTTCAGGTGGTGGAGCATGACCGCAAGATGGAGATGGCGGCCCTCACCTTCGTCATGAAGGAGGGGAAGTGCGCCCATCCAGCCGGAGGATCGAGCGGCTCTTTTTCCCGTTGTTTTTGCCCTCTCCAAGTGAAGGTACCGAAATTAAGCATCGGCTGTAAGGGAAGTATAGGGAGGCCTGTTGTGGGTGTACCCGTTTACCCAACCCATTTACTCATACCAGACATTCTTCACGCCTTACCAAGCCTGTGGTTGCCGGCAGGTACCGACAGATCCTCAGGATGTTCGAGTTTCTTGGGCACCCCATCAGGGTCCGGGGCCTACGAGCGAATGGCACGGGTTGTGCCTCACTTCCTGAGTTCCTGGACTTTAAACTTTCTGGGAAGACCGGGTTTGTGGCAAATTGCAAATTTGGACTTGTTTTGGTTATTCCACTCAGGAAGTGAGTCCATACTGCTGGTTTCCCGGGTGGGGCCCTTGGATTTCCTCGCTTCCTGCACTGCTTTGATCCGATGCAGGCAGTGAAGCGAACACGGTTTGGGCCTCGATGGGGGGCGGGGAGGGGGGGTGGGCACGGAGTTTTCTACAGGAGGAGCTTCGTTTGTTTCTGGGGGGTAATGTTGGATATTCACGTGAGCACTGTCTTAGCATGTCTTAGCCATGGGGTTGTCCAAAGAATCAGCAAGGAAGCTAATCAGTTGGGAGTGCCTCAAAGCTATCAACATCCATGTCTCAGGAGGGGTATTCGAGGGTTTGCCTGTTGGCCCCCTTATTCGTGTCTTGAAGTGAATCCACATTCTCAAGATGTTTGAGCAGTTCCGTTGCCATGGCGGACACGCCAACGGACAAAATCCGGCTCCGTGATGGACAGGTTGAATACCCTGCTCTGGTGGACTCTTGGGTTCAACTTATAGGACCGGGCAAGGCTTGCTTGAAAGACCTAGGATTGGCTTGGTGGGTCTTGACAAAGAGCTCAAGGCGCGGTCGTCGTGGGTCTGGTGTCGCCGGGTGTCATGTGTTTGTTGGACAGATGGGTGTCTTTGTTTGAGGGTATCCTTTTCAGCTTGGTTTAAAGGGAAACCAAAAAGCACGCCCTATCTTCAGGAGTCCCCCCCCTTTAGACTCCCCCTTTAGACACGGACCCACATGCTTGGCATCGTAACTCGTACAAGGAGGATACGTTGGATCTTGCTTCTTGCGGACTGTTTTTCTTTTCAACCGTGCACAGGCTGGCCAATACCGGATGCTGACTCCGAAAGAGATCAGGAGGCCAGGATCCAGGTGCGTTCTGACAAAGATGTGCTTGCACCCAAGGGGTCCATTGGAGGGTTGGCGATCTCGAGGTTGATCCCCCAGTCCACAAGGCTTCATTCAAGCGGAACATGATCAAAAGTATGGCTTCGGTTCCTTTTAAACCCCACCCAAGGTGCCGCCTTTTTGGACGTGGATACCAAAGGAGTCCCCTAATGTTGACAAGCGAGAGACTGGAGGTCATTGCTTTGCCCATGGGCGGACACCAAGGAGGGAGCCTGGATTCAGGGTATTCTTTATTGGGCGCCTCGTTTTTTCGGGGTACCCCTTGTTGGCAGGCCTAGGAAACCAAACAGAAAACGCAACCAAATCTGTTCTTCTTCCTCTTCTTCTTTTTGGGGGGTGGATTCCTAAAGCAAGACAACCCCTTATGGTTGTTGCTTCAAATAGCTTACTCGTGCTCAGTAGGGAATGAGGGAATGAGCCCAAGAAACCACTCATTCCCTGCCTGTCGCACCAGCAAGTTGTGGTTGCTTCAACTCGGCTTCACCCCACCCCCCCCAGCCCCACCCCCCCCAGCCACACCCCTCTCCAACCTCCCCCCCCCCCCCACCCCCTCCGGCCCAAACCTTCGCGTCCGAGGCTAAAGGGCTCCACCATCTTGAAGAAGCCCGGCGGCGATCCGCTGGCCAGGCGGGGTCCGCTCACCTCACGACCTCAGGGCCCGAGGCTTGGATTTTGCTTGGAACTGGCCAAGAGACCCGGGGGTTGCGTCTCAAGCTTCCATTTGCTTAAGATTGTTTTTGAATTAGTTTTACAGGGAATTTATCACTACTGGAAATATTTATATATTTCCAGGGGACTTAAGCAAATGAAAGAGAGGCGAGATGTTCGTAGATTAGATGTGGGGTTCCATTTACATGCCAATTTTGCTCGGCGAAAGCAGAGGCAAGCCTATCATTTGCTGTCCTCCCTTTTGGGAAGTATGGATTTGGGGACACTTAATTTGTGGCCAGATTCTGGTGGATTCATCTTGGCTCACTCGGCAAGCTGCAAGGAAGCAATCTCATAGATAGCACGCTTGGCTCACCAAAATATGCTTGATTCAAGCATACATTTGTGTGCACCGGCAGTCAAAACTTCAACTTGCAGTTTGTACGTGGTCCAACTTAGTAATTACAAAAAAAAAAAAAACGACAGGGACAGTGGACTTTCTGCGGAGCACAGTGTCCGGATGTCGTCACTCAGGAGACGCGTTTTTCCCCATACATGGAGCAATGCACGAGGAGGGATCTGATGTGCGCCCACGCAGGGCCAAGAAGATGAAGAAGGTCTTCGGAGGTGCGGCTTTACTCTTTGCTGTGGATGGTTGCGAAGTCCATGAATTGCATCACCGTTCAGAAGCCCTGGCATGATTTGGTGCCCCTGTAAATACCAAGAAACCTGCGGTTTCAACCATGGGTTCTTAGGTGGTGCGAGAAGCAGATCTCGCAACCATCCAGAGTATTTGCCATGGAGACAATCAGCTGGACTTTGGGATGCATGAGCTCACGATTTCACCTGCTTCTTCTTGGCGCGGCCTCTAAAGTTCCCCATGTTCCCACTGAAAACCCTCAAGAATCAGAAGGCTTCCAGAGGGTCACCAGGTGAAGTTGCCCTCTCCTTCAGATCTCAGGCGACTCGGACTTTAAAGACTTCAAAGACTCAGACTTTGACGAGCTGGAGTCGGAGAGTAGGCCTTCAAGGACTTTGGCAGAGTCGCCCGCATGGGAGCGATTCCTTTCTTTCGGAGTTACCTGGTTTTGGGGGGTTTGGAAGAAATTCAAAAGCAAAAGGAAAGGGTCATGTCGGTGCTTTTCGCGCGTTGATGGGTTTCTCCTCCATTGGGTTGTTCAAAAACAAGCCATCCTACATGTACTTGCAGCAGTGGTTTCCATGACGATGAGGAAAGTTGTGCGCAACAGGGCACGTTTCGGTGCCGTGTGTTGTTGCCTCGTCCCGCAGGAGAGGCGGGAGAGGTGCAAGAGGCGCACCCTCTCGCCGCAAGGCGCGGGACGCACTGGGCTTAAAGCTGGTAGCCACCAACCCCTGGTTTCCATAGCATTGAATCACGGGACACCGACAGGAGGTTGCTGAAGCATTGGTTGTTTCAGCATGCCTGAGCAAGCGTCATGGCACAACCTTGCCCTGTTCCCCCCCCCAGAAAAAAACAAATCGGGCTCATAGCTCGTGGCTAGATGTTGCTGCATTTGCGTTTGCTAGAGCCAGCGGCTCGTGTTTGAACTCCAAGAACTCAACAGAGACACCGACCCCCGCCTTCTTTGGTGGACATACATCCTCGCATGTCTGATGTATCTATCTCCAATTAGCATCGCCGGGTGGTTTTGCAGGGGACTCAGAGTTGGTATACTGTTGACGGTCCAACACCTCAATTTGTTCGTTGAGCTCAAGTGTACAGTGGTTAGCCACTTGGATAATGGATGAAGGCATGAATATTCGGATAAGCCAAACAACCCAAGTGTAATGGTGTAACCGTCCGCAGCAACCCGGTGATGCTTGTTCGCCAGTGATGTCGTTCATCCCAACTAATTTGGGACATTCAAATCAAGGGCTTCTACTTCCGCAGAACGGCTCGGGAACCCCAAAACAAGTTTGGGCCATGTTTGAGCCATTAGTTCAGATTCCGATCCAAGTGGATGCCGTGCCCGGTAGAAATCCGGCAAGATTTTGGACCATCCGCGCCATAGGCCGAGCCCCAGGAGGCGACGCTGGAGTCGCTTCAGGCCGTTTTTGGGGGAATCGGTTTTGGTTTTGGTGGCGAGTAGCGGCAACCAGGAGATACGGAAAACCCGAAAGAACCGGTGGAAATACACGCTTAAAAAATAGAGATATGTGTGAGGGGTGTCTTTTTTGAGTTGGTACCGCATTTATTTTGTGGTTGTAAAGGGAAACCAAGGAAGCCAGCACCATTTTGGGGTCCACCCCCAAAAAAAAGACACTCATGTGATGCTCTATGGTTACAAAATCCACCTGGGATGGATGAAGCCCAATTCGAATACGATGAACTATCTACCTGGTGAAGGATTCTGTCCATCCACAGCACCAGTGCGCACCAAGCACGTGTTTTGTATCAAGGCTTCTTGCCAACTGTTTTTGTCACGAGGGCATGTTCAGATGTTGAGCTCTACGGCTGCTGAGCGCAATGGTCAGACATACAATTTAGGAATGTGGCTCAGATCAGGGGTCGACCCATATTTTGTCAACCATTTGATATCCCCGTTTGCACTAGAACATTCCCGTTTGTACATTCCCAAACATGAAGTACTTGTTTTTTGTGTATTGCCAATGCTCAAAGGGTCCATTCCCATTTGAAAGCTTCTCAATATGTCTCCTTTCGGACCCTGGTGCCGCTTTTTCAGGTGCCGTTGAAAGAGAAATGCGGGCCATTTTGGCGAACCCCAGTTGGTTTCTCTTGTTTCAGCCAACCTGAAGGGGCGCCCCAACGCATCCACATGCCAAACTGTCCATTTCAGCCAGGTCCGTTCCGTGTCCGGCGTTGCGCAGTAAGTCGCACTAAGATTCTTTACTTGTTCATCGCTGTGCACACTTTTCCATGTATGTCAGACATGATTTGAGGAAAGGCCCTCATTGTTCGAGTCTTGGGATGGGGACTGTGTCCTTTTTCTGTAAGTTCCAGAACTGATTCCCCATTATTTTCAATCATCGTTCTTCTCAAACGCCTGCCGTTTTCTTTTCAAAACCCTGCCGTTGTTCCTGGGTTTCTGGAGGTTTTCTGGAAAGAAGGATCGCTGGAAAGAATGGGGAAGGTACCCCTAGATAGCTTTGGTGCATTTTGCTTGGATGTTAGGACTTTAACATTTTGCCAACTAATGGATTTTCCATTAAGCCACAAAAACTTAAACTCTTAGCAGGGGAGCAGAAGCAACCGAGATAAGTGGGGCCCCTTCAAAGACCAACCAACCGAGGGCTGCCATTTTGTGCACTGGGCCAGGGCCTGGCGCTAGATAGCGAGTCGGAAGCGGAGGAGATGCGAGTCCCGCAGTCCAAGTCACACAAAATCCCGTGGTGTTTGGTGGGGTTCAAAGGGTTTTCTTTTGGCTAGTTGCACAAGAAATTCCGGTAGCTGGGGTTGGAAGGGGAAACCAAAGAGCCACACATTGATGGGTCCAAAGCCCGATTTAGACACATAGCCTTTTGGATGACGACTGACGTCTCCTCGAAGAATATGTTAAATTTTAGGATTCTCGGGTAGATGAAATATATGGAGGATCCCCAAGAACATGTTTTCTTTTTGTGTACCAGCCTAGATGTGCCCTTGTGGTTGATTGTAGCTTGTCACCATCACCTTCGAGGCATTTTGGGTAGAGGGGAAGTATAGAGGGGAAATATAGAGGACCCGGTGTTTGGATAGCTGAAGGAAACCAAGCATGGTGGTCCCTATGCAGGTCCCGTCGAAAGGATGTAGATATTTTTCTTAGCCATCTACGGGTGTCCCCAGATGCAGCGTCAAACCCTCTCCTTCAAATCCACTCTACGCCCACCCATCCTAAAGCAAGCGGTTTCAAGAGTGAGCCCTTTGCAGCTGTTGTGCATCAGGACTGTCCCGCCGAACCTCGGAAAAGCATGCCGCCAAACCCAGGGAAAAACACAAAAAGTCCAGCCTCTCCCGCACATTTCGGAGTGGTTTTGAAAGGACGCCTAAAGGAAAGCCACCATTCTTGGGGAGTCCCTCAATATTGAACCATTTGTTGATGGGTCCCTCAATTTTTTGACCCGTACCTTGGAAATCCACATCAAAGCCAAGCGCTTGTCTTCCAGGACGGGGGGGACTGGGAGGCGAGCTGGGTGCGGCGCTCAGAGAGCTCGGCGTTTTTTTGGCCCCCCCCCTCGAAATGGGTGGGTTTTTTCCTTCGGCGTCCCTTCAAAACCACCGAGAGCGGGGTACCAACTCAAAAAAGGACGGCCCCAATGGGGGAACCTCGGCAATGGGGTTGTTTCCTTCGGTTTCCCTTTGAAGGATTCAAAAAGGGCACCCCCAAGAAAAGACGCAGATTCTTGCGAGCTTTTTTCAAGGGACGCCAAACGGTCTGCACCTGGAGAGGGGTGCAAGGACCCAAGACCTGTGAAAGTGGCGCTTTGGGCTCATAGGCCTGAGCTCGACTGAAGGGTTTTGGCAGATTGGCCCAGATTCAGCAGCTGGACGAGATGACCAGCAAGAGGTGAGCCATGGTGAGCCGCGCAGATTCGGTGTTTGCGGAGAGTGTTCCAGGCACATGCCGGCCCCTTCGTGTTTCACTCCACTCTTGAAAGGGGCCGAGCAGAATGATTTGAAGAAAGCGCTTGACGTTGATAGCAAGTGGGTGCCTTGGGCCAATTTGGAAAGCAGCCAGGACTGTGCAGGGAAGATCACACAGCTCAGCGCCTTTAGGCTACAGCCTCCATTCTTGAAAGGGCCGTGCAGAATGATTTGGGCAGTCTGAACTTTGCAAACGAAGATGAGGGCCCAACTCATATCACCTGTGGGTGTTTCTTGCAGCCGTTTTTGGCTCGAGAGAGAGACTGCACTCATTTAGAGCGATCCTTCTGAGGTGCCAAAGCCATAGCTGACGTTCTGCTTTGTTGGTTTGATTGTGAATGGCATGCGTGACGTTTGGAACGAATGGCTTTTGTTTTCTTGGCCAAACGCTTCAGGTCGCATGTCAAATCAGGTATCCCTTAATTGGTGGTTTGGATTGGTGGGGATTTGAAGCCCCGGCTCTCGTAGAGGGTAGATGGAAAGCTTAACCACCAATCCACCCAAGCAAACCACCAAGTAGAGGGAAGCGTCGCGTGCCAAAGATTGGGTCACTCAAAAGCGCCCCAGCCGCAGGGTATGGCTGGAACCGGCGAGTGCGAGTCCCATGACGAGGAGGGATTGGAAAAAACACGTCCACGGGTAACCTGAGGCACGTCCTCAAAATCCGGGTAGTTGAAGGTTAGTACCAACCAGAAATGAGTGCTGCTGCCTCGGTAGCTCTTTACATAGTTTTTGGTTCACCATTTTGGTACCAGGTATTGATACCTTGCGACAACGAGAGCCATCCCAAAGCTTCCCACCTGATTTAATTATGGTCTCCTTTTGACCGCTTAGCTAGAAACAGATGGGTTCCTCTGCTTCAGACATGTTTTATAACCTATTTTGCCCGAGCCGCCTTTTTCAACCAGAAGGCCACCTATGCCTGGTTGAACTCAGGTGGAAACCTTCTGCAGGAAACCCTTTCAGGTGTCCCTTGGGTGGGTGAAATGGGTATGCGAAAGCTTCAGGCGTGATTCGCTTGGGTGCCATCGATTCGTTGAAAAGCACACATTGTCCATGTCGCAAAGCTGACTCCCCTGATTCGAGAGGTCTTGGATAAAGCAAACGGCAGCACGCATGATCCTTTTCTGTCCGGATTTGGAGATTTGGGTTCCTGAAATTGCCGGACTTCTCGGATGCTGTTAAAGATTCAGAGTTAGCCACTTGTAGATGACAAATTGTACGTGTGTGCGTACCCCTCCAGGTTGTTGATATCCTCTTTAGGCCTTTGTTAAAGCATGAAAGCTTACAAGGCGGTTGGTAAACTGTTTTTTCAATCCCCTCTCCACCCCGTTTGAGCAACGCCCAAGTCCCCCACTGACCATAGCGGGCCCACCCGGTAAACTGGGGATTGTAGTGTGGCCCCATGATAAATCAGACGGCTCTAAGTAGAAGATCTCCCCCAACGAAAGGCAGACGACAAGGCTTCCAAAGGGAGGTGTTTTTGCAAACTCCAAAATTGTACCAAGACGTCATTTTCCGTTTGGGTGTTCTCCAAAATTTGCCCCCCCCCCCCAAACTGGATTTCGTCTGTCCTTTTGGTTTACCAAAGGAGGGGCTACCGACTCAACAAAAAGCCGAGCCCATGGCCGTTCGCCTTTCGCAGGAGGAGATGGAGGTGGCCCAGGCTTGGCTGCAGGCTTCACGCATGCGCCTGGAGGCGGGTGGCCTCTGGGGACCAGGGCATTCCCTGGACTGCGAAATCCATTTCGCACTTGAGAAATCCTGGAATTCCAACAAGCAGTGGTTTCAACCATGGTTTCTTAGGTGGTGCAGTTTAGTCCATCCACAGTAGGCAGAAAATCCATGGCGATTCCTGGTTGGCCTGGTTTAACAAACCAGGGGAATCCGTCGATGTTCAACCAAAAGAACACCCATGCTTGATGGTCTTTGGAGCACCCCCCTAAAGAACAGGTGTCGTTTTTCCACCCTGCAGGCCTTGAGGGTCGAATGGGAGCAGTCCCCCTAAAGAGGTCACCATGGGAAAGACATGTGGACGCTTACTGAAGGCCGGCAAAGATCGCACAGATGTCCAAATCCATTTTATGCCTCTCGACTTACTGAAGCAAACCCAATTTGAACAACGTTCCTTGAATGGATCACTCCTTTGCCCAAAAACAGCCTCAAACCGGCGCTTGAAATCAAATTCCAACACCTTCCAAGGGAGGTCCCCTTTTCTTTTTTTTCCTACGGAGAGTCTCCTTTCTGCTTTTCCGGGCACAAAAAAAACCGCCCCCCTGGGGCGCACACCTTTGGCCGCGTGGCCCCGGCGCGCCCCGGGCGCGCTGGAGCGAGGCCGCGCAGCTGAAGGACACCCTGCGCGAGGCCCAGGACCGGAACCTGCGCCTGCGGGCCCAGCTGGAGGCGGCCGGTCGGTTTTAACCGGCGCTGGGGTCCACGTTTTTGTGCGTGTTTTTGTTTTCTTTCTTTTTTTCCCCCAAGTTCCCAGCTGCCCGGTGGATTCAGAGGTTTCTTGTTTCAACTTCTTGTTTGGCAAGGTTCGCCTTTAAAGTCAGCCAAGAAAGGATGTCTTTTTTTTTTGCGGATTGGTATTTATTGTAGGCGTTTTTTTGTTTTTTTGTTTTCGCTTTTGGCTTCTTGGCTTCTCGGCTTTTTGGCTTCTTGGCTTCTTGGCTTTTCGGCTTCTTGGCTTCTTGGCTTTTTGGCTTTTCGGCTTTTCGCTGGTTTATGCGGCTCTTGGCGGCTTTAGCTTTTTGCATCCTCTGCTTTCCCAGTTCCTGTCCGGGCTTTTTGGCTTTTGCACCCTTTCATTGGTTTTTGGATGTGGCTTCCCGCATCATCAGCATCACCAGGTTCCTTTTGAATTATCACTTCTTCGAACATCATGGGGGGGAACCCCCCCCCGCAACCCACCCGCTACTGTGTAGATTGCTTGCAGAGTAATTGCACCCCTATTTGAATCAACACTTCTTCAAACATCATGGGGGGGCTGCCGCCTCCCCCCCGGCTACTTTTTTGGATTTATCTTGCAGAGATTGAATTGCACCCCTAGTTCAATCATCACTTTTCGAGCGTCCAATTTCGTGAGAAAATGCTGCAAAATACGACATTTTAGGTATTCTGTGTAATCCATGTATGATCATGTATGTCTGTATGTATGTACTTCTTCGAACATCATAGGGGAAGCCACCCCCGCCAACCCTCCCGCTGCCTTTTAAATTCTATCGCACCCTTTCTTGAATCATTGCACCCCTACTTGAATCATCACTTCTTCCGACATCATGGGGGGGGCTGCCGCCCCCCCCCCCAACCGCCCCGCTACGTTGTGGATTTTCTACAGAGATTTAATTAATTGCACCCCTAGTTGAATCATCAATTCTTCGAACATCATGGGGGGGCTGCCGCCCCCCGCAACCCCCCCGCTACTTTTTAGAGATTTAATTGCACCCCTATTCAAATCATCACTTCTGCAAACAACATCATGGGGGGGGGGGCTGCCGCCCCCGCCCCCCCCCCCCCCCCGCTACTTGTTAGTGTGTTTTTATTCAGGGATTGAAACGCCCTCCTATTTGAATCATCATTTGTTTGACCCCGTCAACCCGCCAGCTACTTTTTGATTTTGTTACCGATTTGTTGGTGATGCTAGGGATGTTGGTCGGACATGCGGGGGGATGTTAAAAACGGTGCTGGGGATGTTGACGGGCTTGTGTAAAATGCGTCAATTTCGCGAGAAAATGCTGTAAAATACAACAAAATAAATCCGCACCCTTTTTTTGCCGCGGCCACTGGGCATCTGAGAGTTGGTACCCTGGTGTTGGTGGGTTTTAAAGGAAGACCAAATCCAGAAGGTGTGGGCAAAAACACATCAGCTGTCCAAAGGGGGCGAATCGACTGGATCTGACCTTTTGGGTTGGAACATGTTGGTACATAATTAGGTCCCAACGGTTAACCCGGTCCTTTGGGCAGGTGAGAAATTGCAGCAGTGGCGTCCAAATGGGGCCAAGACATGGTTTTTAAGCCTCTTTCCTTCCCGACTCAACCAACCTTGGAGCCTTCTCCAACTCCCGGCCGATTCGCGGCGGGGCGTGCCCTGATTGGTTCGGAGTTCGATGGAAAACTGACAACCCTGGTATGAGATTCGTCGAAGGGGTGGACATGGCGAAGGGGGCCCACCCATAGTGCATGCTCAGTGACTTCGTCCGGGGCTGACAACAACTGATCGAGTATGATCTATCGCGGGTTGACCAAAATAGAGGGATTTTGGGGGACCTGACATGGCGACCGCCAGGTTTGGGTGGGTAGCAGATAGGCCGATGTGTCAAGAAACATTCGTGTGGACTGGACAGCATTCTCACAGACAATTTGGTAGTGTTGCATATATGCAGAGATCATTCCTGCCATTTCAATTCGTCTTGACTTAGTTACTTGGTAATTCAGGGTTTGCAATTAGATTGCTGAATGCGAGCTCCATGGCGAGACAGGGCGAGACAGGGCGAAGCTCTGTGTTGGCGTATGACAGTTGCTTAGTGATCGTTGTTGGAAATGTTGACACTCGTTGGGCAAACTGCTGACTTGATACTGTTCAGGTGATGGACACCCTCAAACTGGGCCCTGGTCCCCCAAAAAGGAAATTCCTGCAAAACTGGTGGTTTTTTGAGCTCCATGTTAATTTGCAGGAGTGTGCGCCTTTGTTGTAGCAGGATCCTGTTCGTCAAACCATCTCATTCAGACCATACAACAATTTGCTGCGGGGGTTTATCGCTTTCTGCTACAGGTGTGGGAGTTGTGACAAGGGTATGGCCGGCCTGGCCAGCGGACAAACAGAGGCACGGAAGTAGAAGCATATGGGTAGCTTTGTCTTTTTTGAGTTGGTACCCTCTTTTTGTTGTGGGTAAACTTAAAGGGAAACAAAGGGTCTAACACTTGTTTTGCGGGGTCCCCTAAAAATGGACACACCCATATAGAATCATATGCGAAGGGGCTGGAAGTTCATTGCTGTACCTGTTTGGAGGTGCGTGAACATGACTGCAACATGCCCAGCGGTTGGTCAGATCAATGGACATGGAAGTGCTGTTCTTGGGGCTCCTCTTGTGTATCCAAGGCTTGCATCATTTCAGAATGGTTCCTTTGGAGTTATGGCTGGAATGACTACTGGACCATGGTTCGATGCACGTGCAGACTATATGGATGAGCAACTCTTGACCATTCTGGGATCGAATGTATAAGTGCAGTCCGGTATGTGGCGATTAGAGTACGACCGTCCTGGGAGTCTACGGATTCAGTCGCCTTCAGCATGTGGTGATCAGCCCAATGAGATGTTGACTCAGTGAATCCCAGTTTGCCGCCAGGCGTCCAAAATCAAAGCAGCGGAGGCTGGGATGCCTTTTGATATTTTTGTTACCTCTCGGATGTCTCCACGACCCCCAATCACCCCAAGGAAAAAAAGGGGGAATACGCCTTTCCGTTCAACCCCTCCAGGTAGCGGTTTTGCAGCTGGAATCCCAGGTCTGCTCCAAAAAGTAGAAGATATTTCACGATGAGACCAAATATGATCAAAATCTGAGTATGATTTCTGGTGCACAGTACCCCATGCCCTACGCGGATGTCAGGCAGAGCAGAACCGGGCGCGTGCGGAAGAGCTGAACCAGAAGCTGGCAGCAGCGTTGGGGTTCCCAAGCTGTGTGTTTGGGACATAAGTCGCACTCACGAAACACCGACCACAAGGTGTCTTTGTGTCACGTCCATAAAAACATGTACATGCGATTTGTTTAGAGACTCAGAATCCTAAACGATGTCCAAAGGGTCTCTGATTGAAGCTCATACCCAAATAGAATAGACTTCATAGGCTTAGGCAGATGCTGAGAATCGTGCAGACAGATCTTGCCCGGAGCAGACACCACTGCCCAAGTGTCATGTAAAACGGAAAGTGCCTTCAAGCGACCCCCGAAGTTTCAAGTGTAGAAGTCCTCGGGCAAGCTTAGCTTTATCCGGCTGTGGGTCAAAAATATGTACCCAAAATGGAACCCTGGTAAGTGGCAACATGGGCCAAAACTTGCGGTCCCCTTGCGATTTGATTTTGACCCACATCTCCAGCCAGGCAAAATCACCTGGTGTTCATGAACCACCAGACTCAGAAGGTACGGAGCTTCGGAGGGTTTGCGGCGGTGGTTTTAGGCTCCGTCATAGCCAAGTTACCCTCTGCAAGAAGTTCCCACAAATCCCTCCAAATAGGTCAACTATTGTTGTGTCTATGTATGGCTGTGGGTCAACACCAATGGTACCATTTGAAGATATGTGCACCGCCCATTCTAGTCTATTGTAGTGGGGATTGAATCGGATGTTCAAAGCCACCCCGGAAGAACGGTCTCAGAGGGAAGCTGACTTACTGCCCTACCAAACAACAGGTCACCAAGACTCAGCGCAGGTCCCACTGGGTCAAGCCATCACCCCACCCAAAACCCGGATCCCACTGCTTGATCACATCCGCACACATGGCTAGTGTGCCCAATAGAGGACCCTTCTCTACTTGGGTCACCCCCCAAAATTTACCCCTTGGCCAACCATCCCAGGTGAGCCACAATCAAAGCCCGGGTAGATGAAGGTAAGGGGAACTCCCAGCCAGAAATAGTTGCGGATATCCGCCTTCTTAATTCTTGAAGCAATGTTCTGGGTAGACCATTCTAGTTGAATTCCGGGTTTTGACTGTGACTCAGGTGTTTTGTCCACGCCAAATCCCACGGCGACATTTAGGTGAAGCGCGACACCTTAGAGGCCCACCGCGCCGAGGATCCCACGGCCCGGGCACCCGATGTTTGGGCGAACAGGGAAGCCACATGTGGATGGTGCGGGGTTTACGGTATTCGGGGTATGGGTTGCATGAGTTGTCCTTTGAAGTGACCTTTGTTTCGTGTTGCATATGTTTTTTTTCTTCTTCGCGTCGCGCGGACTCGCTCTGCATCCGAGAGAGAGAGAGAGAAAGAGAGATGTTGGGTGGGTTGTGTAAGTTTTAATTACGGACCCTTGGTTGTGGACGTCATGTAGTTGGGGATAAAAAGTCCGCCAACCGCTTCTTATAGGCAGTTCGACCTTGGTGTGGACATCAAAATTCGCTGGGGATAAAATGGCCACCAACCGCTTTTGAATCGGTCATTAAAGACTTATAAAGTCAGGGCAAACGTTATGTCAAGCCCTTCTTGTCCCACTGCTCCGTCAAAATATGTCAAATTAATGAGCTCCTCATGGATCTGGATCATTGCACGTCTCTCGTGCACGTCTTTTTAATGCTAGGTCCCCCAGTAGTGCTCTTTTACCCTTTTTTGGGGAAGGGTTCCCCTACTAACATAGACTACAGAAAAAAGGGTACCCTTATTCTAACCTCTTTACTGGAGGACCTAGGATGTGTTTTTTTTTTTTGTGTGAGACTCTCTGAGTATTCCGTGTCCCTGTTAGACTGATCATAGGCTGTCGGATGGTTTCACCGAACCTCGTGTCTAAACGCTTTGGTCAGGTAACCCGGGATTTGGATTGGTGGTTTGGGGATTTCTTGTAGAGGGTGAATGGGAAACCCCTCCTGAACCACCAAACCACCAATCCAACCACCAACTAAGAGGAAGCCGAAGTAGGTTTCAATAGTTGCAACTTCTTTTGAGGGGCCAACGACAACTTCTTGGTTTTCCCAGCCACCAGATGGAAGTGCCCTTTGCCAGACCCCCTATTCACCATTTCCCCAAACGGTTTGGATTGGTGAGTCTGGGGGGTTTCCGGGCCAAGAGCACTTCAGTAGCTGGGCAAACAGCATCTTCAATCCCAGACCCTGCACAGTCAACCAGCTGAACATGTGTGTGAAAAGGGTGTGTGTTTTTAGAAAGACAAATCACGATAGCAGTCAGGAACCGGCTGCAGGCACATCTACATGAATGAAGATGACCGTTTGTTTTGACGCCCCTGTTTGCAGATTTGCGGCCTGCAGGCAATCGCCCTATGCGTTCGCACCAAAACGGTGTTATAGCCATTGAATTGCAGGGCTGGTCTCAAGCCCATCATTAACATCCAGTAAAGTGCTCCGATTTGCTGCAGCAGCATATCCCTTTGAACAAATGGGTGTGCTGTAGCCATTTATACGGTTCACTTTGGTCGAATATGAAGGTTCGCTTGTTTCATGTTGGTTCCTTTTCCCCTGATCCCATGGCCAACACCTGTCAGTCCGTAGTGGCAGCATCGCGGAAGGCGGGGCTGCGCAAGACCCATGACCCACAACCACAACCCATAAACCAGAATTCAAAGACTTCCTCCACTGACCCCGAGACCAAAACCCCAAAGAAATATATGGCATGCAGTTAAGCCTTATTTAGGGCCTTTTCACCCCTTTACTCTGATGTTTGGCTTGTATGTTCCAGTCTGTTGGTACAACCTTTGAATGACCCAAAACCAAACCCCACAAGCCAAAGCCTAAAGCATGACCCCCCACTCACACTCCACAACCCAAAACCCATAACCCAAAATCCACAAGCCACAACCCATAAACCGCGTGACCACCACTTCCTTTCACCCAGCGCCAAACCTTTGACCCACAGATCCTAAGGCCATTTTCCCCCAACCCAAACCCTCCAAGAAAACAAACCCTCGACCCTTTCCCCGCGCGCCGAGACCGCCCGGCTCCGCGGGGAAGTCCGGCGCCTGGGCCAACGCAACGCCGCGCTCTGCGCGGCGCGAGATCGCCTGGCCCGCGCCTCGGGGCCCCAAAGGTCGCGGGTGCCATGGCCGATGCCCAAGACTTCAAGGGGTCAAGGGGCCAAGAGGCAGTAGTTTTTTTGGGGGGGTGGTGGGGTTTGAGGGGTGGGGTTTGGGGGTGGTACAGGGTGGCCATTTTGGGTGGCACCCGGCGCTTTAAGCTTCGGCAGTGCCCAAGTTGGGTTTGGGGAGCTGCTCATGGAGGTTCTCCAAGTCATGTATTTGCTGATGTGTAGGTAGAATTTTGGTGTTTGCCCCCATGAGAAGAAGCGACATGTTCCAAACTGTGTAGAACATAGAGTTCTAGATCGGATGCATGCAGTGCACTTCATGGTCATCCAGTCAACATGCCATGATCTGCTTCGGTTAGATTGATTCAGGGTGTGAACCAGATGCCTGACGTTGATGCTCATCTCTTTCAAAATATTTCAAAGATGTTCCGTTGCAGCACCTTGAAACCGAAGTCTTTACCTGTTATCGGAACAAGTCAGGAGAACTTCCAAAAAAAATCCACAAATCGGGAGAACTTCCAGAAAAAGAAAAGAAAAGAAACAACAAACACCCAACAACGTCTCCACCGGTTTCTTTGCGAACAGAACAACTCACTGGAAATACAAACAACTCGACACTTGGAGCCGCCGGACTTGGAGCCGGTCTGTCACTGGCCGCTTGGTTTCAAGAAGCCGCTCGCTCCAGGCGGCTCAGCTCGAGCTGGAGGAGGGCCCGGGGCCCTGCACGTGCCGGGCGTTTCCTTGAGCTTGGGCTGAAAACCGAAGCATTCGGAAGGAAAATCAAAGCCAAATTCGGTTTGAAGGAAAGCCAAAGGTCCCCCAGCGATTGGTGCCCTTTTACCGGTTTTTTGGGGAGGGTTCCCGTACTAAAATAGGCTACAAACATAAAAATGCTACCCTTGTTCAAACCTCTCTCTACTGGTCGCGGACCCAAAAAGCGGCCACGGTCCAAACAGCGAGACGTGGCGAGCCGATGACTTGTCAGCCCCTGGTTCCCTGGTTCTGTTCCCTGGCTCTATTATTTTGAGGGGGGAGTTCACTTGCAATCAGGTCCTTCTGTCCTTATCCGTGCTGTTAAGCCTCATGAGTTGCAAAATCGTCGCATTGCATCCCTCTGTAGCAAGGAAGCATGGGAGATGGGAATTCTGGGCAAAAGTACGGCATCCAAGCTTCGAGCGGAGGTCCTCATGTGTTTTTTGTCTCGCAGTCAGTTGTTTCAGCCGGTCCGGGCAGTACACAAAGTCCACGCAACACCCAACAAACCGTTGTTCCCCCCTTAAAAATGAAAACGAGGGAGGGGGGGAGACGCCTGAAACTGCATTTATGGTTCCATTTTTCCTGGGAGTAGCAACATAGAGTTGGGGACCCCTGAAGGCGGGGCCAAACCGTTGCTCAGCGGCATTTTCTGAAGGATGGCCGTCTCCCGAGCGAGGGCCTTGCCCATCCCATCCCAGGCACATCCGAGGCTGAGGAGGCTGGGGGATTAAAGCTCTCGCTGTTTGACTTACAAGCTCAGCTTGCTTCTGAAGCTCCGAGCTTCGTCAAACCCGAGCCCCAAAGGTCATGTTGACATACCAAACAGGGAGACTGCTTCAATGCAAAGCCCGGGTCGAGACGATCGCGCCTCCTTCCGCGCCTGTAAACCTAGGCCGGAAGTTCCCTAAATGTCGGATTTGTTCTATTTGATAATATGTGTTTGTTGTTTGGCCACAAACGCGATCAGTCTGATAGAACGCCGCACAGGTTTGGGGATCCCAACAGCTTTGTCCGGTGACCTGTACCGTCCATTTGCCAAGATGCATGTGTCAGAGGCGACAGTCTCAGCGAGTGCCAAGCTTAGCTTTGAGGTAGCCGGAGGTTTGCTAGTTTGACCAATTGCATATGTGTGTGTGTGTGCATGATGTGTTGCGGAGTGTCTCTGTGTGTGTATGTGTGTGTCTGTTTGTGCGTTGCGTGATGTGTCCCTTGATGTGTTTCCGTGATTGTGATTGTTGTGGTTCTCGTTTGCGTGTCTTATCGCAACTGCAAGTTTGAGGTGAGTTGTGCTTCTCTTCCTTGGGTGATTGTAAAGCGAAAACGGCGGGACATTCAACCGAAATCCATTTGGTGGCTCCAAAAATCCTACAGAAAGCCGCCAGCTGCTCCTTAGCCTCAGGCGTGGATCCCAAGCGAGAGCAGCTGCCGCACCTCCTCGCAGCCATCCAAGGCGCGGCGGCGTAGTTGTTGCTTTGTCAGGCGCCACGGTGCCATGGCGGCTGACAAGGGGGGCCCCTAGAAAAGCAAAATGAGCCACAATCAAAACCAGCTACTTTCCCTGGGTTTCCGGAGGTTTTCTAGAAAGAAGGATCCCTGGAAAGAATGGGGACGGTACCCCTAGAACAATTAAAACCCGGGTAGATGAAGGTAAGGGGCAGTCCCAGCCGGAAATAGTTGCGGATATCCGCCTTTCTAATTCTTTACATGGTTCTGGGTTCATCATTTTTGTGCCAGGTTTTGATTGTGCCTCAAATGATCTTCCAGGTACCCTCCAAGAGGTTCTATATGAGTGGAAGCAGGGTATACTTTGATCTGCTTTTGCAGGGAAATACTGTTGTTTTGCACTTGCTTTGCTTCTGTTGAACTCTTGAATGAATTGTGTATAAATGTCAGCTGAGTTGTAAAGAAATGTCTGTTGGAAAGGACATCCAGGGTAAGTTTTAATTTGAAGTAGAACATAATGTCTTTTTCGAAGTTCAAACCAATAATATGATTGGGTTAAGTCCTTGTTGAATTTTGCTAAGAAACAGTTAGATGTTGTATTGAGTTTGATACACATATTTCAAAAGGACATTATTCAGAGGTCCAAACATCGTGGTTTGTCTAGCCCTCAGCACTACCATGGTCAGAAAACACCGTTTATTTACGGTGTCCTGTAGCGTTGCTTGTACTAAATCCACATCTCCGCCAACAGCCGCTCTCTGCAGTTCAGTTTGAATTTGAATTGAGTGAACTCAATAACCAAATGCTTGTTCCGCATCCGAGATTGGAATCTCTATCTTAAATCTAGAGTTTAGAGTTTAGATACAATTCCTTACACAAAAGCCGACCACAGAAGCTATTTTGATTTAACATTTACACTTGTTTTCCTTTCCAACACAATGCTCTGTATCAATATGTCAACATCTAGACAAATCTTATTCAATCGAGGTCAGCTTTTTAAGCTCATTTTAACCTGGATTCTTAAGTAGGAATTCCTTTCAATAAAGCAAGTCCACTGGATCAGCCCTGCCCCAGGCCAAACACCAAAAAACGCGGACAAAACAAAATCAGAGAAACAAAGCCAAACAACTAGCACAGTGAGTGGCTACCTGTTTTAAAAGTGCCTAACAAATGTGATTTGTGTTGTTTGGTTTTCTCGAGGTTTGTTTACTTCTTCGGAAGCCTGGAAAAATACATTAGTTTACACATCCCTCAAGAACAATGTTCATAGGTCCTAAGAGCACGCAAAATACACACTGCCACAGGCCCCTGTTCTGATTTCGAAGACACTGCGGCATTGCAAGCGAGCTGTTCCCAACCTCAGGATTGCCTGGTTTTCCTTCCATTGCCCAGCTGGACTAACTATAAGCGGCTGGCTCGTCTTTTCTGAGTTGGTACCCCCTTTCTTGAGGGTTTTAAACGGAAACCAAAAGGACAACCACGTTTTTTGGTGGGTTGCGGAACAAAAGGCACTGCCGCAATCAGGGCTTTGGACCAGTTCCATGTGTGCCGATGCCTTTGTGAAGCTAGCGAGTGTCAGGAACTCCTTGGGTGGTGGTTTGGCTGTGTGGTTTGGGGGTTTGAACCCCTGGCTTTAGCGGTTAAATGGACCGATCCCCAACCTCTAACTATTGTATGGAGGGGGACCTGTTCGGGCATTTATGGATATTTAGTTGATGGATGTAACAAGAGCCCCGCATCCAAATCAATAGGGGAGCCTTTTGCGGTAATGTTGACCCCTTCCCATTAATTGGGGGGTAAACACCCCTCTTGGGGAGGGTTCCCCTAACCGAACCGGTTCAGCTCCCAGCTCATGGGGCAAAAAAAGAAAAGAAAAGAAGTAAACACCCCTTGGAGATGAATCCCAAACCAGAAAGCAGAACACAAGAAACAAGAAACCGTGACATCAACCAGAGGAGTTCTGCTTCCCGGAGCCCGGTCCGCCAATCGCAGGCCTGGAGCAAGAGACCGGGAAGCTGAAGGAAGCGCGGGCCAGCGCCGAAGAGCGGTCCCGGCAGGCCATAGCGCTGCGCCCAGCCGGAACGTTTGGGCGAGCGTTTGTGTGGCTAGGTCCCCCAGCGATTGGTGCGCTTTTACCCTTTTTTGGGGGGAGGGTTCCCTAGTAAAATAGACTACAGAAAAACTTATTCTAACCACTCTACTGGAGGACCTGGGTGGGATTTCTGAATTTCCTTCTTTGGCACCAAAAGTGACCGGTTCACTGGAAGCAACCAGTCATTTACAACTGTTGAGGAGGTCCAGTGACCCCTGGTTCTGCAACCGCATGGTTTGGACGACACACAGTGGTCTTTGGATTAAACAGACATCAGTTTCCCTCGCGTGTTGTAGTTAAGAAAGGGGATCTTGGTACATTCACCAAAGTTGGGTGACGGGAATTGGTTTTCTCACCATCCATTCAAATTGGTGGACTGAAGATTGTCTCGCAACGTCCTCTTTCCAGTTCCCAAGACAAAGAAAACAAAAGACCCCCCCTTTCCCACTGTGGTTTGGACAAGGCAACTGAGAGTGTTCCAGGTAGGTCCGAAATCGTCTAATTGCCCACTTTGGGGGCCTCAAGGCTGTCTTTTTACTGGACCCACAAAATGGATGGGTGTCCTGTTGGTTTCCTTCTGAACTACAAAAAAATGGGGTACTAACTCTAACTAGGTCCCGCAGTAGTGCCCTTTGACCCTTTTTTGGGGGAGAGTTCCACTACTAAAATGGACTACAGACAAAACCCTTATTTATTCTACCGTCTCTGCTGCACAACCTAGCCAAAGAAGACGCGCCCAGGTTGATCCCCTCCCTTCGCACGCCCAGGCACGCGAGACGAAGCTTCGGAACCAGCTGGCTGCGAGTGCGCTAGCCGACTTGACGCGGCCGTGCGAAGCTGACCAGCTCAGTTGTTCAAAGCTCACCTTTTGACTAAAAATAATGATCCGTGTTTGGTCAAGGTTCCAAAGGAAAGGTGATCACCTTTTCTTTCCAGATCCCTAAAATCCACTGAGAATCCCACAGCCCTGAATTGTTATTGTCAGGGCCCTGAAGGCGGAGTCTGGAAGTCGGTGTTTCGAGCCTCGCGTGGAGCCTCTCCATCGAGTCGCCAGGTGACAGGAAGCTCGAAACTGCGCTGGCGGAGCGACAGGCCAGTGCCCCAGTTGGGATTTGGGTGAGGTCGAATCGCGAGGCAAATGTTCCTATAGGGGTAGCTTCCATTTCCATTCTTTCCAGGGATCCTTCATTCTAGAAAACCACCAGAAACCCTGGGGGAAAGGCTGGTTTTTGAAAAGAACGATGGCCGAAAAGAATGGGACATCAACCCCTAGAAATGTGTGCTTGAATTTGTCCAGTGCTCATGCTCAGCGTGCTAGATACCTCTTCGCAATCTCGGAAGGACGACACAAGGGGATTGGTCGTCCATATGTTTAGTTTCAGGGAGCCACCTGGATGGGCCCGAAAGAAAGGCCCGGCGAACGTGGGACCATGAAACAACCCTTGCGCCCCCAAAGTCACCCTCTGTCATTGCCAATGTCCAGGGGTCCAGGAGTGAGCCGCCAAAGTGACCCTGGATCGTTTTGCGGGGGGGGGTGTTCGATTCTGTGTCTTAAGACACCCGGACGGAGGCGGAGCATGCCTCTCGCACCGAGCGCTTGCAAGAGCAGCTGCGGGAGCGCTACGAGGCCGGAGGTGGCCAGCTTCGGTGCGTCGGAGTCCAACAAGACGGCCCAAGAAAAAGTTCAGCATGGTCTGCTAAACAGCAGGCGGGAGCATTTGCAAGCTGATTTGTTCTTCTGCAAAATCGAATACCGTCTTCAGCTATTGAGCTCCCAGGGCACAAAGTGTCCTGTGCGTCAAAGCTTTGCCCGAAGCTTTGCCGCGTGGGGATCCAAGGTATCAGAGTCAGTTTCATATGCTCTTTTTCGCGGTTTTCGTAGAATATAGATGGCGATTCCTGGTTGACCTGGTTGTTTCACAATCTACCAGGGCCATTGATCATGGGGTTTCCCAAAAAGCACACCTATGGTCAGCGTGCTACGTCGTGTTTGCGCCAAAAGCGCAGAGGGACGCATTGGTTTTCGCCCCAGGCGATCGATGCTTGTCAGAAAGATGCTGACAGAGTCATGTCTTGAGCTTAGCCAGCTTTGGCAGTGGCTGATCAACATGTCTTTCAGGGCCCCCTGCTGTTTTGACCAGTGGTGAAAGTCATTTTTGTGGTTTCCTTAATGGTGCTTTTACCTGGAAAGGACCTTGTGATCAACCCCCATTTCAAAAAGAATGAAAGGCGTGGAAGGCTTGGCTCACGAAGATTGGCACAGCTGGCATGGAGGTTTCCTATCTCGGAACATGTGATTTCAAGGGGTGCAAAAAAGACCCTTTGGTGAATAAGGTGGGGATTTAGGGTTCACCCACCACTTTGGAGCTGGTTCCCTATTAGAAAAGTCATAGCCATGTGCTGGTTGATCCGACTTGTGTTTCAAGGCTCGAACTAGAGGAATGGCAAAAGGAGTGCGATGTGAAGGATGCGGAGATCAAGGCCCGACACACGCGGCTTCGTGTTTTGGACCTGGTGCTTGCCTGGCAGACATGTCGCCGTCCGAAGCAAGGTTCCTATGTTTTGCTCTGCTCACCTTGACTGCTATGGGGTTAGATCCTTAGACTTTAACTTTTTGATGTAAATAGAGGTGTTCTCCATGAAACCCCAAACAAAATATATTCACTTTTTGCATGGGGGTCAACAGATGTCAACAGCAACGAAGTCACATCAA